CAATCTTCTCACTCGTCATCTTCTGGAGCGTTTTGCTGACTGACCAATCTAATTTCCTTTCCAGGTCGTGGCAGCCCTCATACCTGGTCAGTCGCAGCAATCGTTGCCAGTGGAATTCCTCAGTCAGCTTGTGAAGGATCTCAGGCCATAAGGCTTCCAGGCTGATGGTACAGTCGGGGATGCCCCCATAGCCAGTTCTCTTCCAGAGCTTGCCGTTGGAGATGTCAAAGTCATAGTCCAACAGGTAGGCTTGAAGGGCTTGGAGGGGCCCAGTAACAACCTGCCAACGATGCTTGGCCTTGAGGAGTAGATCAAGCGCTGAGTTCCAGCTGATCCAGAAGAGGTTCTGGGCGCTTTCGTCGAAAGAATGCAAAACCTTCCAGACTGTGTGGATGTGTTGCAAGATGATTGAATCGCCAGGGTCGCTCTTCTCAGAGTGGATGTCGAAGACAACATCAACGGAGCCGGATCTCTGGAGACCGAGACCTCTGGCAGCCAAGACCCGTAGTTGTTGTCGACGTTGTGGAGCCAGCCCATTTGCCTGAGCTCCCCAAGACATCACGGGGTGGATCGCTCCTCTGTGCAGCCTGTACTTGGTTGTCATGCCCAGCTTCAGACGGAGCATGATCCCAACTCGGCCTCTTCCCTTGAGGAAGCGCTTCTTGATCTGAGCGTCGGCGCCTGGAGTTGGTGGCGTCTATGCCGAGGTCACGGAGGATGTTGTGATGCTTGGGATCATCTTCTCGGAGCAGGGCATCCAGAGCCTTGGCGGATTCCTTGCTGCTATTGATGAAACCGGTCTTCTCTGTGTTGAGTTTGAGACCCTCCGCAGCCAGCTTGTCTTGCAGGGTTCGGAAAGCCAAAACTGCCTCTCTTGCTGCATAGTCCGGGTCAGTCCCTTTGATGTCGAAGGAAACATCATCCACCCATGTCTGTAGTAGGACTGCCGGATGCTCTTGAACCAAGGCCCGAAGCGGTCGGAAGAGCACCAATTTGGCTATCGCAGGAGCTTGAGGGCAGCCTTGGAGGATTCCTTTCTCATAGTACCGAGGATCGCCAGCAATGCCTTCTGCTTGGATCAACCTAGGGCCAGTGTAGAGGTCCAAAGCCAGCTCGACGAGTGCTGATCCACGTTGAACTTAGCAGGCTTGACTGCAGGGCGCTACCAATACTTGATCCAGTGTGGAGGCAGTTCCAGCCATCGACTGGATTTTTTGAGTTTCATACCATGCTCTGTTCGAGGATTGCTTGGGCCTGCTGCTGCGGCCGCCGCTGGTGTGCTGACGCAACACCGCAAAGTTAAAAAGAGGGTCCCGTTTACGAACTGCAATGAGGTCCCACCTTGGTTTCATGATAATGGCCCCTCACTGTAAATAGTTCTGAATATATACAGTATATATATATATAAATCAACCTCTCCCAGTGTCTCCCAGGCCTGAAAATGTTTTACAATAACCCTAGCTATCTTGTTGTTATTTATTCAGAGATCAAGAGTCTACATTGTTGGAAACTCTCTGACTGACAGGCGGTCCTGATGGCCCAGTCGTGCTTCGCCGGTGTTCAGGAGGGAGGCTACAAGGAGCTATCTCAAGGGTATAATAGGTATCCCAACTTCCTCTACTAATTAACAAGTCCCAACCGCTTGCAAGAGCCTTCGGTATTTTCGTCTTGGTGTCAAGCGTCTTGGTGTGTGTGTCGGCGTGTCCTGCGGCGAAGTCCTCGCATGAACTCTGCTGTGGCACTCTCGCGCCGAGCGCCGCACGAATGGGCGCGACTCGCGCGATGAACTGCAGGAAGTGGCGTGACTTTCGTTGAAGTTGGTGCAAAACCGTGACCCGTATTGTGTCAGCTGTTTCAGGAACTGGGATGTTCGTATGCTCGCATACACTGCAGCGAACTGATGCACAGTGCGCTTTGTGCAGTCAGATCCGTTTATGCTTCTCAACGTCGCCGAGATCCCTGCGTTCCAAGTGCTGTGAGGCGTTCCGCTGGTGGTTGTGACGCTCGGATTATTCATACAACCACTACTGGTAGCTGGGTTTGGACGGTGTTTTGAGTGGATGGTCAGTTCTTCCCACCTTCTATGCGGAGGCGTTGGATCGAACCCTATAGATCCGATAGGCCCAAGGAGCACGCGTTCACAGGCGGCGTGGAGGTCGCGGAGGTTCAGAGGTACGCTTTGATGATCTCTGGAAGAATGGCGAGGGTACTACTTGCAACACGCAGGGAACTAGTCAACAAAGAACTGGAGAGGGATCCTCCTGCTGCTGCTGCTGCTGCTGCTGCATAGGAACCGGAATGATTTGATACAACCCCATTCTTATGATGGTTTGCAATCGGTTTCAATCAGTACATGCCTTGTAAACCGGACACCTATCAGTGATCCGAGCACCTCGGACAGGCGGAAACCACATATGTCGCTTGTCGCTTGATGTGACTAATGTCTTTGCTTAACCTTGAGGTCTGCTTCAATAGGGGTCTTCTTCAGCACATCTATCACACAAAGTTAGTCTAAATTTGTATCGATGACAGATGATAACCGTGTATCGATTGGTGCCCCCCTGGTGCCAACCGAGGAAGAGGTTGTTTGGTTTGGTCCGATGGCTTTGTTCGGTTTCCCAGGTCAGCTTGGATACCCTGGCTATCCCAGCATGAGTTCTTCTTTGCCACCGGTCCGGGATGCCTAGACTTGGGAAGAGGCAAAGGAGTGATGGACGTGGAAAAAGGAGATTCGAGACGGAGGGCCCAAACTCAGTTGTGAGAAAAGAAGTACATGCATTTTTGAGCTTCCCAAATTCAGCCTCAAATGCACTTCCAAAATAGATCCACTCTATCTAGCCGCAGCTAGCCTGGATAGGTCATTCCATGCCACTTCTTTTTACAGGAAAAACCGATCTCTTCGACGTGTTCTTCGACTGGCGCCGCCGTTCCTGTGGCGTCCTTGTGTTCTGGACGCCACCTTCGTTTTCACGACGAAAGAACCATGCAGACACATGAAATCAAATGACCCACAGGTCAAGGATCTCATTTCAGTCATGGTCAGACAGACAATGACAGAAACTCTGTGAAAAACCAAGTACGTGGTTTGGACAAGTATTGGGTCAGACTGGACGTGTTGGGCCGGGATGTGTTTGGATGTTGGTCAAGACGCGACCGCCATCTGGGATATGCCGACTTCCGATCAGCTGGTGCCAGGGGGGTCTGTCTGGGGCGGCATGCCAGTCCCATGTATATCCCATACACTCCATGGGACTGGAATATATGCCTACATCCACCCTAACAAAAACCATCCCAACTGATTGGCATATCTATGGCAGTCCCATGGGGTGTTTGTATGTCTCTTTGGGGCTTGGTGACCTATCTCCGTGCCAAGGCCCTGGCCCAGCAGTTGGGCTCTTTGAGAGGCCGAGGGCTGCCCCAGGCGGGACCCGCGGTGAGGTGGCGAAAGAGTCGCGCTTCGCGCGGCGGTGCGGTGGAGAGAAGTGGATCTTAGAAGAAGCTTTTTGATGCCAAGAGATTCAACCAAGTCATGGCCATAGATTTTTCGTAGAAGTCGAGCGCCCAGACTGTCATTCAGTTCTCATGAGATTTGTTGTGCCTTGGTTGATTCAACAAATATCATTGTCTGAATGACAGTCCAGGGGTCACATACAAAGACGGGGTGATGTTTAGTGCCTAAGTGAGTGGATAATATGGGCACCCCGAACCTCCATGGATAGCACACCTTTGAAACTCCTGGTTGAACAGGTTTGATCCAAGAATCACACGGCCCAATGCCGATGGGGTTTGAGCACATGGTGGCTCACCCCCGTTATGGCCACGAAACCTCTAGGGCCAACAGCCTCGTTTCAATCTCAGGGTCAGCGGGAACATGAATGATCATGAACTTGCAGAACAGGAGTAAGATCCTTTAAAGGTTATTATCCTTATAGTCACTGATAAAGCGGTCTAATGATATTTGAATGACCAGGACAAAGGTGATCAACTGGAGTAAGAAAGGTGCAAAATGCCCCTGAAGAAGTCGAAAGGAGCCAGTGGCTTTTGGCATGGGTTTTTCTGTCACACGAGGCGCCTAACAAATAGATCGATCCAAAAGTGGGTTTCTCCCACTTCCGGGAGATGATGAAGGTCATTCCAATGTCGCACTCTTGAAGCTTCAGGGTATAGCATCATTTACGGTGAATCCCTGGACTTTCAGAAACATAGCTCCTGAAAAAGAGAGCCACAGTGAGAGCCACATATTTAAGACCAACTTGTGATTCCTTTGGGATCATCACGTGCTGTTTCAGGCTTTGGGAGTCGCTGGCGTTCGTCCAATTCGTCCATGGTGCCCTCAGACAGCCCAAACACACTCCATGTAGATGTGTACCGATCCAGCCAGGGGTGGTGGAAAAAGGGTCAAACAACATTGGGTTTGTCCTAGGACCTATAGGACCTGTAAGTAAACCAGCAAATCACTAGTTTAGAAACCAAGAGAGGTTGAACTCACAGCCCCTCTTGTCGCCCATCCCATATGTACCACAGACCAGGGTCTTCTCACGTTCTGGTCTCAAAAAACCTCTCTTAGAAGGCTTGCCACCTAAGGATCATCCACTGAGGCCCTGGATGACATGGATAGACCCCGACCGCTTGGTCCATGTGACACGGTTGGGTGGGCCACGAGGATAGACCTCGTCCCCTAACTTGAGTGTATTCAGCCTACGCAATGGATAATTCTTTTTTTTTGGGGGGGGGAACTTGGTTGTGCCACCAAAACATGAATAGGTGGGAAACGGTCAACGTTTCATCACCTTTTTCGAAACGTTTCCTTCACACCACTCACTGCACAGAGGTCCCTGAAGGGGCATCCTTTAGGAAGGCCAGCATCAACGCAGAAAGGTGTGCATCAAGCACTTCCAAGCACATGTACTGTAAACAAACAGAATCAAACAACATCCGAAAAATGGCTTCCTCTCAAAAAACAAAGAAACATCCAGCTTTCAAGGTTTCTGAACATCCCCCTAAAAACCCACCTCTTCGTTCCTGGCGCCGGGCTCACGAGCGTTGTAGTCGTTCGGTGATTCTCTGGGAGGCGAGTCAGGCGAGCCAACGCCTGAGCACCATGACGCCCGATGGCTGTGTCCTATGGGAGGCAAGGCGCACCAGTGGGGAGCGGTTGAGAGAGGCCGCGGCGCCGCAGAAATTGGGTGGGGTTTGGTCCCTGTTGGGCCCCAAAAGAGAGCTGATCAGTGCGTCGATCCAATTCTACTGCAGAATGGTCCGATGTTGCCATCACAAGCTGATTGAGTGGAAGTTTTCCAGGTTTAGGTGGCCTAGTGGTGGCCGATGTGGCGCCTCACTTTATACTTTCAAGAGCAGAAACCGCCGACCCTGCGGACGGACGGACTTCCGCCGGAAGGGGGGGGAGGCCCTCGGATAGACCTCCCGGGTGCCAGGACACCTTCCTGAGGTGTCTATACATTGCCTTTTGTTTGAGGTGTCCCAAAGCTGCCGAACTTGGTTTCGGTCCACGTTGTTGGAGTCTACGTTGTTGGAGTCTGACGAAATTACTCTTTGCATCGCAATGAACCAAAAACGGTCAGATGATTCGCTTTGCGTGTCCAGTGTCCAGACCAAAACTCCCGGACCGTGCACGCGTAGAGCTCGATGACATCATCTATAGAAGCAATGGTCGGAGTGTTGAGTGTTTGTTTTACCGTGTTTTTGTGGTCCCCTTTGCTTGCCCAGGAGCATCCGTCGAAACTTGTAACTGATCCTAGACCTGACATCAAGCCTCCTTTTTCTGTACATTCCCCCGACCATCCATGTAATGCCCACATTCACCCCCCTGGCACCACCCCAAATTCACCGAGGTGCAGCTCACCAAGAGCGCGCCGGGCGATCGCCGGGGACGCCCGGAACACGGCGACGGACGCGCGGCGCGGCGCGGAAACGCACGTGGGTCGCGTGGGTCGAAGGGGAGGGGAGGACACTCAGAGTGACAGCACGACGATTCCAGTTCCTCCTCTTTTCTCGGGGATGCCGTGGATGTCGACTCTGCGGTGTGGATGTCGACCAAATACTTGGCCCAGCATGCCGAGTCGACTCCCCGTCCTCCGGTGCGGCCCATGTGTTGTGTCAGTCTTCACTTCAACCGATTGAAAGGCGACGAACGGAACGACTCCAACCGGGCGTGTGGTTGATTAGGCGAGTTGTGATGAGATGACCTGGTTCCTGGTGTTTCCAGCGCTTTGATGCAATTCAATCCAGAGGCTTATTTAGCCCTACCCCCGGTTTTTGGAGGAGACTTCCTCAAGAATCTACTAGTTTTAAGTTACTCCCCACCAGCACCACCCACTTGGGGTGGGTTTTTAGATCTCCCCTGACCAGGTATTGCCCATCCAAAAAACAAGCCATTGCCTGTGGGTGCTGGCAGTACATGTGAAGCGGAGATCGGAGCGAACCTGGCAGACCTCAGACTCAGTCGACCCCGCCCTACCCGTAGGATTTGAACTGCTGACCGTTTTTTAGAGCCTGAATCCCGAAGAACCATTGTTTTACTGATCATTTTGCAATATATAAACCATGATTTCTAGGGATTGGATCCCCCAGGGCAAGAACAATCAAGAACAGGTAAAAAGTTCGGTCAACCATCATGGTTATAATGTTATACTATGTTATACTCGTTTCCATTCTTTTCCCAGGAAATGACTCAGAGTGTTGGCCAGTCTGGCAAGAATCCACCCAGACCGGGCAAACCGGATTTCTTTCGCAAATCGCAAATCTGTACGAAGCCTTATACGGTAGTAGTACCTACCTGCTACTAGTATCTTCTTGTTCCTAGTAGTGAGGCCGGGAGCTACTAGTAGCATCCTGGCTCCTAGTAGCGATGCCCTTTGCTCCTAGTAGCGATGCTCTTGCTCCTAATGCTTAAAAGTGTTCATCCACTTTCATCAAACCAAGATAGGCTAAGTGACCCGTGACCTGGGGCACCGAACTGATATATAGTCGAACGTTCTCCTTCCACTTTTGTTGGGATGTCATCTATGGTCATCTAGCAGCTCCAACAGGTCTCCGACATGGTGGCTGAAATGGAGACTTAAATCTGCTGGTGACCGGTCTGAGTGCGGGTCTGGAAGCCTTCCCAGACGCCCCGTTCACAGCCCTCATGGTCCCTCAAAAGGATTGAACTTCAGTGCGCGTGTTGCACTCCCAC